TTATGTATTTTTTATTCTCCATTCCTCTGTGATTTGTAAGCATATTTGTGTAATAAATCCATACGTGCATCATTAATAAATTATTATTATTATTATTTTTGCATGCATATTCCATTATTAGTTATTTATAATGCAATAGGTGTAGCACCGTAAGTTTAATGGGCTGATCAGATGAATTGTATGATGATTCATTAATGTTTGTTACGATTCATTGTGTGTAAGATTTATTAATATTTAAATTTAATCATATTTAGATAATGATCTATTAATGTCTGATAGTAATACTTATTTTTATTTGTATTAAAAATATGTTATAGTTTTATATTTAAATAAATTATCTATTTTGTTCATGTTTAATTGTATATAATAATAAATAAAAAATAAAAAATATATAGTGTTAAATATAAAGATATATAAATATATTTAGTTAAATATATATCTAATTAAAATACTACATACATGTATATTTATAATTAAAATATTACAAACATATATTTATATATAATTAAATATATAAATACATACATAAATATATAAATTTATGCATGTGTATAATTAAACACATAAATATATATAGATACAATAAAATCGATCTAATTAAATGAATTATATATATATATATATAATTAAAAATATAAGTACATGAATTTAATTGAATATATAAATGCATATATATATAATGTAACGCCCATAATTTAAAAGGAAATAAAATTATAAATTGAATACGGAAGTGAAATAATAGAGTTAGGGTTTACATTCATTACACAATAGTTTAAAATACCTAATAGGAATATGAAAATGTCATTTCTAAAAGAACAAACAAAAATCAATAAAATAAACGAAAAATAAACAACTGAACACCTTATAATGATCTTCACTAGCTTTTGAAGAAGTTCGGGTAGTGAACTATTCACAATGTAATGACTCCGAAAATTTCAAATGAAATAAATTATAAATTTAGTACGGAAGCAAAAATAAATAGTTAGGGTTTACATTCTTTACATGATAACTGAAAGTACCAAATAGAGTTTAGGAGAATAACCATTCTAAAAAAATAATTAATAATCAAATAAATAAATTAAAAGTAAACAAATTGAACGTCATATTCGCAACTCTTTTGTGGATCGGGCTCTGAATCCTGGTCCTCTTGATCTGAAATGGTTAATGAAAGAATGAGTTATACTAGTCTAGTAAAAATATCACGCTACTCACCGAAATAAAAATAAAGGTTGATAGAAATCATAAAAATAACTAATGGAGCTCTTAATTAAGCAAATTCGTTTATCATAAATAAAATCATTTATCATCTACTTACCGTAACGAGATTTACAAAAGCAACCTATAGAGTCAATACATGATATATATCATAATTTCATATGCAATCGGTAGGAATAACAATTTTTTATTTTATCAGCCTATTAGTATCTATGGGAGTTCATAGGGATGTCCCCACTACACGTGAACCATTTCCTTTAACATTTTTAATTAACAGGTCGTCTCCATATCTCGTCCGGTATGAGCGTCAAATTACTAAATCTCGACACCCCATCCGGTATGAACGCTAAATTATCAAATTTCATATCTCATCGGGTATGAGGGTGAAATGGGTCGTCCTCATATCTTGTCCGGGTATGAATGCCAAATTACCAAACGTCGA